CTTCAAGACTAAATCCGATATCTTTTTGGCCACTGCCTACGCCCCCCGTGCCCCCCCTGCCGCACCCATGACCCGAGAACCCAATAGCGTCGTGGATGACTTTGTGAATTATGCCGTTGGACAGCGTAGACTTGAGCAAGGTATCGAGTACATGGTGGAAATGGGCATCCCGTTGCAGGCCGAAAACGTCAAGAGCTTCACTAGATGGGTTACCGATGATACCCTCAAGGAGGAGGCCGAGCAAATGAAGATTATGAAAGCCCATCCCAGCTTGGTTTGTGTTAAGATTGGGGATCTAGCTAGAGATTGGTTCTACAAGAACCTCGAGAAGATTATTGTAGAGAGCAAGCATGGCCAGATGTAGGGTTGCAGAGATGTCGTTTGTTATTTTTGTTTCGTATTTGGGGAAATCCCCCTTGCATTTTTTTGCCCTTTTCCTGGATTTATTGTTCCAGCATTCCATTGGTGTAGCTTTATTAGGGAATAAAAACTACCTATGGGAGTAGCGAATTTCCCACCCCCGTGATTGGTATGACTATTTGCACTTCCGATGTGACGGTGAAGTGATAGTGTTAGTCATTATCACCGTTTTCCGCCACTGTGGAGTCCCACCCAAACCCGAGCCACACAATGCCACCGCAAATGGCCAACCGCCAGGCCCCGCCGTGGTACTCGCCCTCTGCATTGCCCCGACTACTATTATAAGCATCTCACTCTACCTTACCGATTAGCAGCAAGCCAATTGTCGGGTTCCGGTTGCGGGAAAGCGTGGGGTCCTATGTTCGTGCGAGGCTGCAGAAGTCAATTGCGATACCATGAAAACACTTGAAACCCACTCCCTCCCCCAGAACCGTAATCTCCAGATTCCAGGTAGGAAAGCGGCGGAGAAGGATGAGTGTCTTCATGACACGGGAGGAGATCGGCGCGCTGGATGTTAACCGGTATCCACAATTCCATTAACCCGTCAATAAAGCCCATCATGGGCGGGCCAGCAGTTGCCGACTGACAATCTGATTATAGATTTCAGGGTTTCTAACGGTGTGGTATCGTACGAGTAGGTTCCACGGTAGGGTGGCCTCTGAAAGCATCGCGCACAAGTATAGTGAGCGACCTCTGAGACTGGATCACCGAATGAGGAACAGCCGAGCCAAACTCAAGGCCTGAATGCCTGTTGGCAATAACTCACTAACAAATTTTTTTTTATCGGGCGATAGGGCATCACGCACGCTTCAAACAAACGGAGAGACCATGCAGATATCTCTTCTTCCGTGAAGCGATCTGAGCACTGGCGAGCTTTTGGTTATTCGGAATGGGCCGGAGCAGCTCGGCAACCTCGCCATTTCCCGTACTATCATATTCGCTATTATAGAAAAATGTGCTTTCCGCGTTTCGTGCATGCCCTGGTGTGCGCAGCCTAGCCCGAGTTAGTCAGGGGGTGTTTGGCAGACCGTGGGTTCTAAATCACATACCTGTTGCACCGGTTATCCTCCCAGAATTTCGCTTAATATAATATTTAACATGTTTTTGCACCTTGGATCATATCATACCGTAGTAACACCTCTTGTCACGAAAAACCGTGTGCAGAACTGACCGCCATCTCAACACATGGTCTGCCAAGCGGGCCTTTAAGCTTTCCATAGAGTCGTTGGTGTTAGCTGTTCCCTCAGGTGTTGGTGGGCGGGAAAGGCAAACGGGGCCGCTAATATTTTCAGAAAACGAGATCGCGAGGTTAACTAACCCCTTTTCCTTTTCTTCTTTTCCCTTCATGCTACTCACCTGCACCGGCACTTGCCTGTCGACCGATGGTTTGATAGGAGACGTTGCGATCCGGATCACGAACCCATGAGCACGAACCCATCTGATCCTCCCACACCCCTGTGCTTATGACGCCTATTGAAAAGGTATATACAAGCATCGTCAACTTGCCTACCACCCATTTTTTTACTTCCAGCAACTCGACCTTGTTTAACAAGACTGAGTGAATATCCGGCAACTGCTGCTCACGAACTCCGTATTATATCAGGACAGATAAATCCTAAGGTCCCGTAAAAGCACAGATCCTTGGCACGGGGATGTCTGTATTTTTGGAGGTTACCAGTAGCTTATCCCGGGTTAGTTAGTGGAGGTGACAAGGAATTGCAGAGCTTCTGGCCAGCACCATTCACAAGCGTTGGAGGGGGGGTGTCCTTGAGCGAGGACTGCACCGAGTACAGTAGCCAAAGACAAAGATTCAAAATATGCCAAGTGCCCCGCGGCGGGAGTGCAACTTTCCTTCGCTTTTTTCTATGTTGAAAGATGGGGAGAATGACACCGATCCGGGCGCGAGGGGGGGGGGGGGGGCGAAAGCAATACTCACCGGGTACTATCCGGTGCACTCTGCCCCCCTACTATACTCGGTTGGGGGAATCATGGACCTAGCGCAGAGGCACTTTATACCAGTGTGGAAAAATCTCAGTTAGCTCCCAGGACTGGATGGTGTTTTCAACCGGCTGCATTTGTGGAATACGGGTTGCTGGGATTGCTGAAGAACCGCCCTGTAACCCTTAGGGCAAGAGGAGTAAAAATAATAGGAGATTGACGATCGTGAAATATGACCGACAGCGAAGAGGAGAAAAGATGGTGAAGCAGGGCCTAATATAGATAGACGGAAAACAGTATGATATCTATTGGAAATTCTTATGGGATGAGAACCCTACCGAACATAACAGAGAGCATTCAACCCTTTATCGTAGCACTTCCCCACTGGTACACCCCGTTCCGCGGACGTACGGTTCCCCAAGCGGGATCACAGTCATGCGCATATTCACTGAACGTCGCCAAATTTTGCCACCCTTGCCGCCCGCTACCGGTATCCGAGAACCCTTCCGAGTAATAACACCAAAATTTGGCGCCGCACCAGAACCCCGCCGAGTGGTTGATTTCCCTCTCCCTAGATGGATCAGACCGAAACGCATTTTTCTCCCATACGACTTCTCGCTCACTTCTGGAATCTACCGTTGATTTTTTTTTCTCTTTTGGTCGGGGGGGAGAAATAATTCCAGAACGGATTGGAGAATATTCTCTGTATATCCGTGTCATATCATACCGGGATCTACAGTCCTGTGGGGGATCTACGGTTGGATCTGGGGTCTCGCCGATAGGACGGGATGCGAACGGGGGACGCTGGGTTCTGTAGGGGCCAATAACAGGGACCAGACAGCCAGCCGAGCTTCCGGTAGCCCGCAAAAGCTGTCTGAAATGTGGGAGGGATATTAAACCGGAGGGCCGGGGAAGTTTTTCCAGAGTGGGAGGTATTTGTGGGGTGGGGCGGTGTAAGTAATAGGGATTTTGGGGGGGGCTTAGCTAAGCAGTTCATGGTTTATGGCTTGGTTTGTCTGGTGGGCAAATTTCCTACGGTGTATCATACCATGCGGGACAATCAGGAGTATCTCATGTTACAGGTATTGCTTCCAAGCATCGGGGAGGTATTCACTTTCGAGCGGTGAATCGGGAAGTTCGTTTATTTGCCGCAATGACCAGATTGTAGTTCATATGGGAATATAATTATCACTCGCATTGGTGGAGGGCGTCATTCTATTGGTATAGCAGCAATAGGAGAGAAGTATCATTTGATACGTAACTTATAATGAATTACATCAAAGGAATGCCATTCCTATCCACTCGCCTGGTGAAATTAGATAAGAGAAGAAAGAAACGGATAACACAAACTAATAAAAACATTTATGATAAAATATATTCGTCAAGGACATCCGCCAACGGAACACAAAAGATGAGATTGTTGTAGGAATCTAGCCAAATGCCGACCCTCCCGAAAGATGCTAAAGTGTAGCCTGAAAAAAGAAAAATACCCGTTGTGAATAACAAAAAAAGAAGGCGACGTATGTGTAAAAAGAGACCACTTCGTGCAATAATGACCGGTGGGGGTGGGGGGGGCCGGAGCAATGAGCGGGCGAGGTGCGCCAAGATGAAGGGGAGCATCAGCCAGTTTGGAAAAAGTAAAGAAGACCGGTTTATTTCAGTGCAACGTGAGTTTAATGAAAAACGAGGGGAAGTAGATAGTTTGCGGAAAGGATTACAAAACCTGATAGTTTAAGCTCCCATATGCACGAAAGGGGCCCAAGTCAAGAAGTTCCCAGGTTGTTTCTCGCGGCAATTCTTCACAGCTTGGTGAAAGGCTGTGGGGATCCGTTGGTGCCAATCGCCGTGTTCTTTGTGTTGGAAAAGCAGGATGTCGAAGTCTCTCGCAACTTCACTTGAGGCCTGGTCATCAGTTTCCCAGAGGTTAGCAAGGGTATGGCTGAATCCGGCAAGCTGAAAGGCACTCGGGAGATGTATGACTTCGTCTGCCAATTGAGAAGAAGGGTTTTTGGCGGAGGAGCAGGCCGAAAGATAGGCGAGCTGTGCACTTTTCGCCGCAATACTCGATATATCTCGAACCGTTAGTTTACCGGCTTCATTACAATCCGGGGTGAGAAGGACCGGATGGCTGTCCGAAGAGTTGATATCGGAAACCCCGTGGCAGGCAAAATGAACAATGCCGTGTTGCACGACCTGATTGAGGACGTCGGCTGGGGTTGGGTTACTCAATACCATAGTCTCGACCGAATTTGTGGCGGCCGAATCATGTATATATTGAATTTCACTGCTGATACCAGGTAGATCTGATGCGCCGGGTGTTTTTGTCATGGGAACGACTAGCAAGGTGGGGTTCCGTGTTTTGGGAATTTGGGCCTCCTCGGAGGGCCCCGCTGAGAAAGGAGTAGCACATCCGCCGGATAGGGGTGGCTGTGTTTGGCGTGCATAGCTGAGGGCTTTGATTGTTGGTATATAGGTGGAGATGGCTCGACTTAAAGTGTTACGGGTTGATCCTAACGCATGATCCCTAGTAGCATGGAAAGGTGCCATACTTGGTTGCCCTATTCCAATCCACCAAATCCGGTTCAAATTGGTGTCAGAAGCACCATCATAGATAACGGTCCCACTGCGCTCAAGGTCGTCAAAAACAGGTCCAACGGCGGCATCCCATAGCCAAATCAGGAGGTCTTTCATTTTCCTGTTATCCTGACGTCGTTTAATCCAACTTCCTCCTGCTCCGAAACTACCAAATTGAGTCATCCAGCGGCTTGTCTCTTCATATTTCAATTTCCGAAGTTCTAAGGAAGTTATCCCTGAGTTGGTTACGATTATGGCGTCGCTCCTATAGGGAGTGCAGTTGAAGACAACAAGGGGGCCACCCCCCGCTAGTTTCATCAGATCCTCCGGAGGTGGTGGGAGCAGAACCCGCAATATCCGGGGAACGTCGGGATGCGATCCAGAATTACATCCATCTCCTGTACCCCATCCCAACGCCTGGATCCAACACGATTTTGGGCTTGATTGGGCCGCTCGAAGCTTCAGCAGCCATTGATTCCATCTATTGGCGAGTCTATCTCAGCGCGGAGGCGATTGAATTGGTGGAATTCAAACTGATGGTCCATTTCAAGTTCCGAAAATGCGGATATTGAGTCGATTGTAAATCCCATAATTATTCCTCGACCGAGCTCTAGATGCTGAAGGCTGTGGTGGGCTTCCCTGCCAGCACAAAGAGCCATAGACGCAGCGGCTGACGAGAGCCCCTCAAGATCCGAGAGTATATGCTGCTGATCGTCTCGGTTCAATAATCGTAGATTTACACTTGGCATCAAGCCGACCGCCCGCTCGAGCAATGTACTCGATTCATGAAACCGGCCGGTTGAAAATAGTATCGAAGCTGCTTTGCGGCCTGCGCTGATCCGATCCCTGGGGGGTGACGTGTGGCAATCACAAGCCTGCTGGTACTGTCGAAGGCTTTCGTTTGTGTCCTCTCTGCAGCTTAGAATCTTGGATCTTAATTCTAAGTATTGACCCATAAGGAGGCACAAGGATGCTTGCCCGGGGTGGTCTTGAGGTGTAGCAGCTCAAGCCTGCTCTCCGTCCGTAATAGCTTTCTGGAGATCCTCAAGATCTCCTGACCGCTCAAACTTCCGAGAGAACCCGAGTCCGAGGTTAGTATGTCTCCTTCCTAGCTCAGGGTGACCTAGGGGTGCAGCATCCACGGCCTCTGCACTGTGCATAACGGCGTTTTGGAGGTCACCAAGGCCTCCCATCCTCTCAAACCTTATAAAGAACTTTGCTCCCAGATTATTACACACTGTCGCTCGTCCGGGGTGATCCTGAGGTGTAGCAGCCAGAGCCTCTTCGCTGTGCTTGATGGCTATGAGAAGGTCATCTATATCTCCTGTCCGCCTAAACCTTCTGGCCAACATGCCCCCTAAACTACTTTTTCTCGCTGCTCGACCGGGGTGATCGTGAGGTGTAGTATTTAGCGCCTCCTCAGAGTATTTGATGGATTTCTGAAGGCTGTCAAGGTCTCCAGTCCGTTCGAACTTCATACTGAGTCTTGATGCAAGGTTGCTATATAGGAGTGCTCGTTGGGGGTCATCTTGAGATGTGGCAACCAGTGCATTTTCTCCATGATTAATGGAGTTTTCCAGGTCATCAAGTTCTCCCATATGCTCAAATCTGAGAGATAAAAAGGTCCCCGGGTTAGTCTGTCCGCTGAGTCGATCGGGGTGATCGTGAGGTGTGGTAGCTAGAGCGTGCTCGCAATGTTTGATGGCATTTTGAAGATCCTCGAGCTCCCCGATACGCCGAAACCTCGTAGCGAGACTGGCTCCTAGGTTGTTATGCATCCCTGTTCGGTGGGGGTGATCCGGAGGGGTCGAAGCTAGTGCATCGCGGCTGTACTCAATGGCCTTCTCGAGGTCCCTAATTTCTCCTATCCGCTCAAACCTTCTTGTGAACCCTGTTCCCAGATTACTCTGTACATTCGCTAGATGGGGGGAATCCCGAGGCGCAGCAGCTAGTGGGGCTTCGCTGTGCTCTATGGATTTCTGCAGGTCGCAAAGGTCTCCTATCCGCCCAAATCTCGTCAACAAAATTGCTCCCAAGTTGAGGTGTCTGACCGCTCGACCGGGGTCATCTTGGGGGGTCGCCGCTAATGCCTCTTCGCCGTGCCCGATCGCTTTTTGCAGGTCCTCTATGTCTCCTATTTGTTCAAATCTTCTCATAAACATTCTCCCCAGGTCCCCAAGCACATCGATGTGATTGGGATTGCGGGGAGAAGTCCCTCTGACTATTTCTTCATCCATGCCTACAGCCAATTCCAAATCATTCATGTCACCGAGCCTCTTAAATCTCGCGAACAACATGAGGCTCAAGCTTCTTAGCATATCCACGCGAATCGGATTGGCCAGGAGGCACTTTTCTATTGCCCTCTCCATCTGAATAATTGCTTCGTTGAGGTCTGTCACGCTACCTAGCCATTCATATCTTCCATACAAATCAGCCCTTAGCGATCTGGACTGGCTGTGCAGTCGCTCCGAACAACTCCACGTGTCGAGGATGCTACTGCATACGGTTGCATAGGTGGTCATGTCCTGAGGGGTCTCGTCCATTTCCTGCATTCCGCACTGCCGAGTGATCTCGCCAGGTACAATGTCCTCCGAACGAGCGGATCTGCTCCTCAACATCTTGCTCCGCTTGTCCAACAAAACAGCTCGATGAGGGTGGGAGGGGGTCATTGCTGTAATAGCACTTTCCGCAAGCACAATTGCCTCATGAAGCAAGACCATATCGTTATTTCTCTCATATTGTGAGAACAGAATATCACCGGTTTCCATCAGGTCGTGAAGATCTTGACCCGAGGTGTTACTCCGAAAACCCTTCACA